TATAAAATGGACATTCTATACTATATTAATAAAAAAAGAACAAAAATAGACATTACAAATATCTAAAGGTCGTAAACTCATGTACGCAAAATATGGATAGAACTAGTATCTATAATAAGATTACTCAACTCCATCAATTATATGAGATCACAGTGGCAAGAACCAAACTGATTAAATTATAAGTCGCAAGATGAATGTCTTGAAAATACTCAACGTATGCAGAGATAAATAGTCCTCTAACATGTCTATCACTTATTTATGAGATCAACATTCAAACAATCATGGGGAAAGTACCACATGCTTGATGAAAAGAACTTGCCTTTTTCACATTTCTCAGTAGTGTGAAGGAAGCAATCATATTTGTTGTATTGTGGATGAGGGCCATCCCATGACTCTGGTTTTATAGCAGTCCAACACATCAAGTAGCTACGAAAGAAAGCGTGTTCTCTTATTGCCTTTTCTTTTGGTGACACCCATATCATTTCACCAAAATCAAGTTCTTGAATCGAATCTTCTAAATCGTGATCAATCACATAAAGGTTTTCATCCGAACTTACAAGCAGCAAAATGAAGGAACACCGCTTTGGAAAATTCCTGATTTCAAGTAATGTTAACTTGGGCTCTGGACTGAGACTCATTTCACACAAACCATATCGCTCATTTAGGATATATATCTTCCCCTGGAAAGCATGTAAATCAAGGGTGAAGAAAGTCGAGGAGACATGATTCCATGCACCTGTACCCACTATTGAAAACCATATTAAACGGGAGAATCTTTGAATAAGAACAAACAACCACCTAGATAGGGAAGGTGAAAAGACCAGGATAGCCCTGAATGGAATAAAATTTGATATATAGGGGACAGCAGGGAAATGAAGTTCATGCTTCGTGATAGGATTCACAAGCCAGTAATCGTTGGTTTTCAAACATAACATCACCAAGTAACCACAAGTTAATCTGATATATTTAGTGTAAGTGGAATGGGGAAGGAGGGTTTTGAACTTCTTTCCTTTAAAGTCCTCTAGAAAACAGTAGCACTCTTTCTCGTTAGCATCATTAGAAATCCACATGGACATGGGTGGTCTGGAAGCCATAAACCTGCTTTTGTTCAAGAGTGCAAGTGACCTCCATGACTTGCAAACTCCACTGAATGAAAGAAAATCAACAACTCCCAGTTGCATCATAACTAAAAAAAGCAAATCATGGTTAGGTTCTAACCAAGGTGCCACACCACCATGGTCATAAGTCTTGAACCTCTTCTTCCTGCTAGATGATGATGCATCATCATCATGATTATGGTTTCTAGTCATACTCCTTGTCTTAACCATTCCTACACTAAGAAAAAAGGTTTCCATGATCTTGTTAAATCCAAATTCCACATAAGATACAAAAGTTGAAATCAAGGGAAAAGCATCCATGTACATACAAAAGCTATATTGATCAACTAATCAAATTTTACAATACGTCTGCAAGAAAAAGAGAATAGAAACACAAAATGTATATTTGATAAACAGTCTAAATTACACAGAGTGGAAATTAGCGATTGTAAGGTATATGAATGCGCTTAAAAAGTAGTACTTGAAAAATGTAAAAATTTCATTATAAACTAAAAAGGGTTACACCTTCTCTACAAGATTACAACTACCACAATATCTATCCTTACCTTTACACTTTTGCCTACTCCCATGCTTCTTGTAATCAAAACCTTACATGAAACCAAGATACCAAACTCGAACAAAATTTCTGGATAATCCAACAAACCAACTATAATCACTTTTTCTATTGCTATTATGAACATAATCAATTTCATATCGTTATACAAGTTATGAGTTACAAACCTATCATATTAAACATAAGAAAGAAACTAATCTAGGATGCTATTTCACAATTTCATCAGTAATCGTATATGTATTTGTATATCAGTACATATCCAATAAAAATTATTAAAACCTTTAGATGAGATCGATAAAAACATCAGAAGAAACTAATTAAGCTGAATTAATGGAAACATAATACTACAAAGATCAACATAACATGTCCTTCCTCACAAATAATATGGCCAAACCATTCAACATTTCTTGTGACATTGATGAAAATATTACATCGGATGAAAGCGATGCTACTTCTTTTATTTGACAGTATTAGAAAAGAGAACACGAAGACAATTACTCTGTTACAAAAGATGTAAATAAAAAACATAGTTGCTTTTGACTTGAAGAAGTTTCCATTCTCAATATACAAGTGGCTAAGTCAATTACTCAAAAGCAGAAAAGCCGTGAAAAATTAAATAATCAGCAATTAAAGGAGCAGTTCCTCGATTACAGAAGCTATTAGGATCATTACTTCAAAAACAGCTATGAACGAGTACTGAATGGCGTAGTATAGACCATTAAACCCTAAATATTTAAGCTATCAAACAAAAGAAATTGAAATAATAAAATAGAAAGTAGAAAACTTTGAGAAAAAACATTACCTTGTTTGACTGCGGTAGACGAATTAATCAGTAGAATTAGAACTTCAAGATAGCCGTTGCTTCCATTCTATAACAATCCATATCTCCTGCCTGTTCTGAGTTTCAATTGCCAATTGTATCCTATCATATAGACGATACTATCGATTATCAAAGTATCAAAGTATCAATATATAGTCGGCTCAATTTCTACCGAGTAAAAAACATTAGGGCCCATCTTCGGGGCCGGGTTATAGTATTTCGGGCTTTGTATTAAAGTGACGCTTAAAAATTAAAATGGTTAGAATATGAAAATAAATTTAAGGAAATTGAGTAACCTTTATAAACGAGTATCACAATAAAAGTAACCAACATGACTTTCTTTTTAGAAAATTAATCATTTTCTTCATAATACCATATTCCGGAGTAGGTACGGTCATTCCAGAGTTGATCGTATGTTCACAAGTATCGAGTCCGAAATCTGACAATCATACGTTCCGGACTAATGAAATGTATTCCGAGCTATGGATGCCAGAATACGATATCCCAGTGTAATTATGTTCATTATGGAGTTGGTTTTGGTAGGTAGGATTTGGGTCCGGAATCTGACACACCTTACGCTCCGAACTGAAAAGTGTATTCCGTAATGTACTCTGAAATATATGGGCATTCTGAAGAGGTATAATTAGGGTATTTGTGTGTTCTTTGTTACCTATATGCATTATATTTGTATGCATCTCAATTAGTGTTCTGTGATAGCTTTCATAATTTAGAAGAATGAGTATGTATACGTATTTTTTTTATTGTTAGTTTCTAGTGGAGGGTAATGGCAGCATATCGAATGATTTATGCAATTTATTGCTCCAGACTCCACATGCTTTGGTGTGGATATAAGCCATGATATAAACTTCAGTGGGTTAATTATGTTGGTTGCTTACAAGTCTAGGTTACACACTAATCAAAACGTCTATCTTTTCAATGTCCTTGATCAAATATAGTTATGTAGATTCTTGACAATAGTGATGTCAGATATTTTCTTAGTTTTGTTAGTAGTATGCCTCATAACACAGTATAATTGTGTGTTGTTAATATTGTTATGGAAAGTGCTATTCATCGATTTGTTAGGGAACTCGTTCTGGTGGAAATAGGTCTTCCGATGCCGGAAGTAACCACATTTGTAATTTATTACCTATGACAACCAACCATGTTCCTTATTACAATGACCCTATAGATGGGGTGATTATAGGTATTAAGGTACAATTGCTGATGATGTTTTTCCAATAGTTGATGTTGATGAATCTACAAATGATCAGCAAAAATTAATGTTGTGAGTTGATGATGGTAATATAATTCCACATGGAGAGCCAGTTGAACATTTTCAGAGTTACACTGAATTTACTGGGGATGATATCGAATATCAAGATGAAGAAACTAAATCCTTAAAACCCCAAAAACCACAAGAGGAAAAGTTTCCTTATTATTTTTCTGATTCTTAAGAAATACAAACACCCATTGAGGTATGCCTAAACCTTTACCATTGCCCAAATTAGCTCAACAAAAACGTAAAGTTGCCACAACTCGCAATTATACTTCTTATGTGAAGTTATTCCAACTCTTCAAAAGCAAAGAAGAACTTAAGCTTAAATTAGGATTCAAATGTGTTACTACAATCTTCCAATATAAAATGAGAAATCTACAAAATATAGGTTTGAAGTTGCTTTCTTTGTGGAAAATTATGACTGGCAGATACGTGCAACAAAAGATAAAATACCGATACATTTTAAGTTGCTAAACTATCGGAGAGCCACACTTGCTCAAACACATAACTACGTCCCCATCCCCGACAAGCCAACAAAAAAGGTATTGGGTCACTTCTTGAAGGGCATATTAGCTGATAGTACATGTAATATATTGCGGGGAAACAGACTTTAAATGACCGTCTTAGTATCCATATTTCATACTGGCAGGCATGGAGTGCTAAAATGTATACTCTGAATCTGTTAAGGGAAACCCTTGAAGAAAGCTTTCAAATACTTCCTTTATATGGTTACAATTTGGAGAAGAATAATCCAGAGACGGTTACATATATAAAGACAAGTATTGACAACAAATTTGAATAGTTTTTCATGGCTATCAGTTACACGGTAATATATCTTATATAATAAGTTCTTTAAATTTATTTTGTTACACATGTGTTTGCTTTAATGAATAATTATTTTGTAGGTTCGAGTGTTTCAAACATGTTTCCGTCCTATTATTATCACTGACGGAACACACCCTAAAAGGAAATACTTGGGCATGATGTTCCTATCAGTAGGCATGGATGATAATAACTAAATTCTACCAGCATTTGGTTTTAGGAAAACTGAAAGTGGGGAGTCATGGATATGGTTTTTATCAAGAGTTAAAGAATGTATTGGGGATATGCCTTATTTGGCTATCATATCAGATATAGCCAACTCAATTGAAATGGCCATTCAAGCTGTGTTTCCGAACACAGATCACAGATTATGTTGTCGCACATTTGCTGATGAATATGAAAACAAAGATCGGCAAACAAGAGAGAGTCGAGATTTTGTTTTGGAGGCTGCAAAATCTTACCAAGAGTTTTATTTCAAAGAAAGATTGGGTAGACTACGTCGTGCCCTAAACGAAGACTTTCGCACATGGATAGACAGAATCAGTTACAAGAAATGGTTAAGTTCGTATTTCCCTGTGGTTCGGTATAATATTATGACATCAAACAACATCGAGTCCAACAATACATTATAAAAAGACGCACGAAAACAACCAATAACAATGTTGATTGATTTCTTTTGAGCAACTATGCAACAATGGTGGTATCAATGATGTAATGTTGGAGATACTTATTTATATTATAATAATTCCATCATAATTGTACTATAATTTACTATGCATGACGATATAGGTAAATGTGTTTTATAGTTGAAAGAAAAAAATATATTACTGAATATGATAAGAAGGTTATCAATATTACTGGGTATAACAGATGATCAAAGCAGAAAAAAATATATTACTGAGTATGATAAGAAGGTTATCGATATTACTGGGTATAACAGATGATCAAAGCAGATATGAGGTGACTGACCAAATGAAAAATGGTATAGTCACCTTGGAATCTCGTTGCTACACGTGTGGGGAATGGCAATTGTCACACATACCTTGTTCTCATGCTATGATGATATTCAAGGAATTGAGATATCAACACTGCAGTACATTTGTGTCATCGTACTTCACAATGGAAACATGTCGATCAACATATATAGATGTTTTGTTTCCTGTGCCAGTTCCATCTGAATACGAAGAACCGGATGAAGTCATGGTTGTATTACCATCATTGATGGAAAAACGACAAGTCGGAAGACCACGTAACCATAACTATATCCCTTCCCAAGGTGAAGGCCCGATTAAGAAGAAATGAAACCATTGCCAAAGCATCAGTCACACAAGCAAACACTATGCCGCTCAGTTTCCCACAGATTCAACATAAACTGAATCTTCAAGTAGGACCAAGTCAAGTTTTAAAAGTAATGTTAAGCCTAAGAGTAGATCTAATGTCAAAAGTAGTAAAAAAAATTAGTCAATGGTATGATATTGTTGATCTAAAAAGCGCGTAGTGATGTTTGTATGAAATTAGAATATTATACAAATTGTTGTTCGGTGTAATAAACTACTATTTGATGCATCATTATAAGGAAATTGTTTAAAACTGTGACATCCCCAATTTCACGGCCAGAAAAGACCGGTTTAATTTATGCTTTTAAAATAATTTCAGAGT